TTGGGGGGGGGGGGTGAGAAATGAAAAATATTTTCTCTCCTATAAATAAGGACCACCCTAATATATATATATGAGTAATTTATAAATATTTCATCGTCAAATGGAATATACTTATTTATTGTATTTATCAGATTATTTGCTTGGACTTTTATTTGCTCTGATTTATGTCATGGCTCGGAAATATATTTCAAAAAGCGTCGAAACCGGCTGGCTGTGGTACGAAACGAAAACGAAAAAAATAATAATCGAAACGATAACGCGTTCACTACGGGACGTTATAACATATATATTCTTATAGAGCAACGGCAAAAAACAATAGCGCAACAATCGTTTGAAACATATAGCGCGCGTATAGAGTAGTAGTGGGCTGATGGTCCGCGATTGAGAAACATGACTCTTGTGACCGCCCAGAGAAACGATTATTGTACAAGTCGGACGAGAGCGTATTTACCGTGGCCAAATGACGACTTCGAGAAAAAACTCGAAAAACTTTAATAATATAATTATAATTTATTTATTTATTTCATCATAACGGATGATTACGCCTGTGAGACAAATAGTACAGGTAATAACACAGACAAAAAACAAATACAATAGTACATTGTGAAATCAACTTAATAATTAAATGATTATAAAAATTCAATAATGCTAAATAAGTTACAAAACAAGTTAGTTAAAAAGAGTGTATGTATTATGGTATTATGAATTAAAAGTTTTACAACAAATAGACCATAATAATGTTGAAGAATCACGATAAAAATCAAAATTATTTATTTTATTACATAAATTCAACATTCGACTTACCGGAAAGTTTCTACTATAGTTCTGTGTGTATGAGTAGAACATAAAACATTGGATAGGAACGGAGAGATACTTGAGGAACGTTTATCGGTATTAAGTTTAAAATTTCTGGACAATTGATTTTATTATTTAGTAGATTATAAATCCATATAATAAAAATCTAGACAATTTCTTCTACATTAAAGACGATGCATTTTTAGATTTTCAAGTAACTTTTTATGTTTTATTTCATTATTTCTAATTTTATATGAAATTAAGTTTAAAAAACGATGTTGAATGGACTCAATCTTATTTATATCACTTTGCACATAGGGTGACCATATAATAGAACCATATTCCAAAATAGACCGTACTAGTGCAATATATAAGGTTTTCAAACATGTTATATTTTGAAATTCACTGCAATTACGTTTTAAATTCCTAATGTCTTGGATGCTTTATTACAAATATATGTAATGTGTTTTGAGAATGATAAATCGCTAGATAAGAAAACACCTAATTTTTTCACATGGTTAACTGCACTGAGATTGCAACCATCAATTACATATTGGTTATGAATAAAAGATAATAGCCATGTATATATATATATTTATACATTTATTTTTTAAAACGCCACTTATTCATACAAGCACAACGAGTATTATAATATATTATTGTCACGATATTAAACTACGATAGTAATATTTTTTCGTATATAATTTTTGTAGTTTTTGACATTGACAGCAGAATATCGGCACGAGTCCCCGAGTGGGTCGAGAACCAAAATAATTTTTTTTTATAAACACAATAATAAACACATTACGTATTTTCTTTTAATTTGATATAAATTTTATGATAATCCGACCCTTTACATGCCCATAGTGAGATTTAAAATAGCAATTTTTTTACAAAACTCAACTTTATCAACTTAAATTTTGATAATGTTGAGGAAATACTGCGTCCTTTATGCATATGTTAAATTATAACTTATAATACGTATTGTAATTAAAAAAAAAAAATTTCGACCACTTATATCTATGTGCTAAAGATTGTCGTAGATAAAAAACATGCTATTTTTGTGTTAACATTTTTTTTTTTTGTTTACTTTCAAATACTTTAACAGGGTAGATCATAGTAATGAGTCCATTCATTTTTATGAAAGTTACACGAATTTAACTTTTATCAAACATAAATTTAAATTTATTTTGATTATTTAACCTCCACAAAGATAAGAAAAGCAACTTTGAATTTTTGAACTAGCTTAAATACTTTTCATTATCTACTGATCCATGTATCATCTCATTTTTGAGATTATCACCAATTAGAAAGCAAGTATTAACTCATGAAAAATTTTATTAAAAAAAAAATTTATCAAGATATTATTAATTTATAAAAATATTCCGTACAAAATGTCATTTTTTAATTTTTTTTATCCTTGTAATAAACAAAAAGAAAAGGTAAAGGCTGTAGGGAGGGTTGTAAACGCTTGACAAAAGGAACAAAGGGAGATTGGTTGGTTTTGTGATAAATAAAAGTAAAGGCGGCAGTAGTTTAGTATAAAAAAAAATAAGAATCGCTAGAGGTACTAGGCAGCAACAATAATAAAATAAAATAGAAAGGCGTCCGGGGTATGTATGCCTACATGTATTCGTCTGATATACAGACGTATATGAGTAAGATGAAATGTCAACGAAAGATTATTATCTAACTCCTGCACAAAAACGTATACACAAATTTTTGGCGAGTCAAAAATATCGTAGTTCTTTATAAAAAAATTATGCGATGGATGAGATTTTCAGGACATAAGAAATGTTCTGGACAGTCAATGAGCAAAAATATTTTTCTTTAAAAAATTAATTGTTGAAATACTTTTGTCCAATATGTCAAAATTATTGAAAAATATTCCTGAATTAAAACTACTAATTTCGTGTTTATTTTCTGAAGTTAATATTTGATGAGGTCAAGGTTTATTTATGGTAATTCTTGGCGATAAACTTATAATTCAATATATTTTTACTGAATAATGTAGCTACTTAAAATATTTTTATTAATAACAAAGGTTGCGTAAATATATATCCACAATCTGCCATCCGTAAGGAAGTAAAGTAGGAGTCGGCTTGTTATTGAACCAGTTCGCGTTTACCTATCGACCAAGGAGAGATAGCTGTGTCGTAGCCGCCATTCAGCGGTTGTAACTTTGGATAAAATTATACAAGATATTTGGTTTCTAATGTTATCATTGCTATTACCAATGAGTCGTCTATCAAGCCATTTAATTTGATGCGTAAACATGTTCCAATAAATTGAAATATGGTTTGTCAGTTATTTGTCAGATGTTTTACATGTACCTAAAAATGTAAATTTGTTTTCATGTCGTGCGTGCCTTAATAATAATGATAACAGACAAAAATGTTCGTACATTTAAAAAAGGAAATAGTACAGTTGCTGTTGGAATTCGTGAGGATAAATTGTTTTTGATGATTTTTAAAATAAGGATATAGATCAAGTGAATATTGCTGAAAAATGTCTACATTACAACATTGGCGAGAGAGAGAGAGAGAGAGAACGTACTCGATCGCGCATCTGACTGACGCCGGTGACAGTGCGGAAGTCAAATTTCTCCCACTTCTTACGGTCCGGTGGCGCACAAAATCGGTTATACGCCCCGATAATATTAATCGCAACATGTATACAGCGTACTATAGTTTTTATCATAACGCAAAAAGTATGATTATATATATTTTTTTATAATGATACAGATTTTTTTTTTAATATAAATTAATAATAAACACATGTTATCATAATAACACCATCGAAAATGGTGGGGGATGTGCAGCGACGGACGTAAAATCGAGTACGTTCTCTCGTGGAACAGAGTATAGAAAAAAGATGAAAGTAAAACTTGAGTTTTTGTTATAGAAGAAAGAAAAAGCCATAGAAAAAGGAGAATACCCTGAAAATATAATAAAAAAATTAATTGGACAGGTATTAGTGAAGCTATCATTTGGACATAATTGTACATAATCACAACCCTTGAAACAATTGTTGTTACATTATTTTCTTATGTGATAATATATTGTAATTTTATCAAACAATCTAGTATATTTTACATGCACTTAAAAAACAAATTAAAGTATTTTCTTCTTCTTTTTTCATCACAATAAATACAACATCTCATATCTTTAAAACATCTCTTACAATAAACGTGTGGACAACGGGAAGAAATAGTATGCCTTCCACGTACACGTTTACAGTCAGAGCACAAACGGACAGGGTCAAAAGTAATACCTAAAAAATGAATAGCACAATTTATATTTATATATATTAAGAATATATTATTCTTGAATTATTAACTGTGTAATACTTTTTAAGTTTATAGTAGTTGTTTAAATAAATACCCAATATACATAGAATAAATTATAAATTATAAATTACACTTTTAACTTTATGTTTAAATAACTTTTTGAACAATTTATGGATCAATACAATTTTTTTATGAGAAATACTATATATATACTTTTTTTATCGACATATATTTTTTTTTAATTGGATCATTTATACCGGGAGGTTCAAAATTTTAAAATGATAAATTAATGCACATATTGAGTACTATAAATTGAAAAAAAAAAAATTGTCCCGACGACTTATCTTCTATATGCAAATGGCCACTGAAATTCAACAAAAAATGTAATATTTGCGAAAAAAAATCACCTTCTATTAAAATGTTTTTTGTACTTATCTGTCATAACTTATATATTAACAAATGATATTTTTTCACTTGTTTTCTCAAAACTGCAATAATTTTTTGAAAAAAGAACGAACCAAAATAATTTTTTTATTTATATTGAAATCTTAGGTATTTTCCTTTCATTTGATATACATTTTTTAAAATTTAAACCTTTACTTGCCCAGGGTGGGTTCAAAATGGCAACTTTTTCATATAATCTATTTTTTTAACATACATTTTGAAAATGTTCAGGAAATACTGCGTCCTTTATATATATTATATTAAAGCTTATGGCATGTACTATTATAAAATCAAAAAAAATTTTGTCCCAACGACTTATCTTCTACGTGCAAATGGCTCTATATTTAAAAAACATGCTACTTTTTGTGTTCAAATTTTTTTTATTCTAAAATACCTTACATAACCATCAGCCATAGTAAGAAGTCCACCAATTACTATAAAAGTTACATAAAATATAAATATAAATATAAACTTATTTTTATTATTTTTCATATCAAAACTAAAAAAAGAAACTTTAAATTTTTGATTTAGTTTAAATATTTTTTTTATCTATGCGTACACGTAGTGAATGGTGGCTGTGTCATATAAGTCTTATAAGCTCGGAGTACATAGTTCGAACCCCGACAGCCTCAATAACTTTTTTGCATTTTTCTCTTAATTGTATTGTTTAGGTAAAAAAAAAAATTGGAAAAAACCCTTAATTTTTAGAAATTTAGACAAATATCTCAAAATTACGTTATTGCAAAAAATATATCATAATTTATAGAAGTAAAAATTCGTTTCTATGCTGAATTTACACAGTAAAAGTAAATCAATCAAATATCATCTATACTTGTCCCAAATATGCCACATCCATACTATACCACGACCCCACTCTTGTACCTTTTATCAAATGGAACACATATTTGAGTTTGATAAAATAAGATTTTATTTTAAACGTAAATGGTATTTAAATTTTTAACAAAACGTTATAAGTTAATATACATGTATAATACACGAAAGATTATAAATACAGATAGATAATTGAATTTTTATTACGTTGCCATTTACAGATACGCAGTATTTATTGACTTTATTTTATTATGAAATTATGAACAGTCATTCTTAAAGTATGGTGGTAAGACACATTTTTGTGAGTTTATAAATACAACAACATGCAATGCAAATATCATAACTTATGATAAAGTCATAATTGACAAACATCGCGCATCTGTTATTGGGACGTCAAAAAAAAAGCAATTTACTATCTGTATTTGTAATTAAATATGAAAAACTTTAAGAGGTTATTAGTTTAATAATTAATCTGAGAACCAAAAAATATACAGAAATATTTAAATAACTGATGAGATCAATAGAACTAAAATTTTGATATAAAATAAAATCACGAAATTTGCCCCAATCTCACCTAATATTTTGCATTTAGCTTGGAACAATCACGTATACTAACTATATGTAATCTGTTTCATCTTATCAACTTTAGTTTGGAAATATTAATCAAATTTCCTTATTTGTGCACTAATCACATAGGTAGACATGGAGCTAGGGGATCACAATTAAAAAAAATTAATTTCTTGGAGAGATAATAGGTTCATTATAATATTATTATTTGGCGTATAAAATTTGCATATTATGACTCAAATTATCTAAAAAAATAATCTTTAAATTACTTTTGATCTGGCACTGTTGATATGATCGATATTACAAGCCAATTATTACATGCTAAAAAAGTAAAATTAGTATAAAGTACCTTTCACTAAGTATTCTCCGCACAGACATTTAGTTTTCATTTCATACTCAATACAATATTTACATAAATCTCTATTACAACATTTCGTTTTTACCAGTTCTTCTTCATTTTCATATAACTTACACTTTAAGCAAATGCGAATTCCTTAAAAAAAAAATTATAAAAACTTTTATTAAAAAAACATCATTTTAATTCATTAGATACTTAGAACCATATTTCATTAATCTCAAAAATAGTGTCCAAAACTTTTAGAGCAGTATACATTAAAAAATGCTTAATTAGTCAGTTAATTATGTAAGTAACTGTTATCGGTGCTAGGAGAACTCCAAAGAAGCCTTTTTTGAAGGCAACAACATTAATGTAGACGAATAAATAAATATTTTTTTTCAAAAACGAATATATCTGTTATTTTCTGAACACACCTCGTATTACACTTACATATCATAAAACTTACAACAGGATATAAATAAAGAAATAGGATTTCATTTTGATTATAGAATAATCCGCCATTTTCTTAAAATGAAACATTATCTATAGATTTAAAACCAAAATGATGTGCAATATAATTAAATTTAAAATTTCTGAAGAGGTTCTGAAATATTATCATTTGATGTGTGTCCAGTGAATATTTTATAGGAAAATATTTGATTTATTGGGGCGTCCGGTGCCTTCGTCATCTTTAACGTCTTCACGTCCATTTTGGAAACGCTTTCACTACTCGTAAATCTTTGTTTTACTTATAGCAGACTCGCCACGTTCTTTTATTAATATTTCACACACTTTGTTACACTATATTTCATTTTTTACACAAAATTTTTGATGCTATAGTAAATAGCTGAGGAAGTATTAAATAACTTCAATATTTCTATATATATATATATACGTTTTTACTACAGTAATAAGCAATTTTTAAATTATTAAGAAATATAATAATGTCATATAAAGGGAAAATTCAGAATAAGCAAATAAATAATGGCGTGAAAAAGAATGTATAAAGGGAAATATGAAAAGTATAGGAGGAATGACGTATTGACTGAGAAACGTCAAGTTACTGTTCAGGACGTTTAGTTTTTTGTATTCTGACTTAATTTATATTTTGTTACATTTTTACATTACATTTTGACTTTGTGTTTATTACGTTTCGTAAATAAAATATAACTATTCGAAAACCGACATTTAGTATAAATACTTTATGTCCATCTTGATATTGTGTGAGTGTGTGTGCAGCAAGAGTCGACGTAGGACTACTGGCCCTTTAGTCGATCTCAACCATTTGTGTACGTGTTGGCTATTTTTTGGGCTTAACCGTCCTTTAGTATGTATAGTAAAAAAGTAGTTGTGCTGGTGGCTGACGAGGACTACCCTTCAATGTGCTACTTTTGAACTAAAACGTGCTGATGGGTCTAAAACCCATATTTTTAGTGGTTTACTAAATGGAGGGATTGGAGCTGACTAGTGTATCCAACGAGAGGACTTGAAAAGAGCCAAACTTAACGAACTCATCGTTAAAAATATTAGTTTTTTTGTGTACTTTTCTTGTGTCTACGTCGGGGTACTACCAACGTACGTCAATACAAATCCTTTAATCGATTTATTTAACATACAAAAATCGCTGAGCTCATAAAAACACGTCTAACCTTAGCAGCTGCCACCAAAAAAGTAAAAAATGATAACAACAGGAAAAAATTTATTGAAAATTAAAAATTGAAAAAAATATAATTATTTTGTATAAAATTCCTTTTTAAAACTTAGCTTCAAATAAATGAATATAGATTTACAAAAATTATCTAAATTTATCCCATTTTACCCTTCTAAGTTGATATTTGTCTAGAGACTTTAAATTTAAATATTTAAGAGATAATAAAACTATCATCGAAAATTTTTTTTTTTTAATATTATAGATCATATTATGGGCTATAACTTGATATAGATTTAAATAGAGTAGATATTCTGAAAATGTTTCATATGCTTGGGTGGTTACTTTCAAACCCTTCCTATACTTAGGTTATTTTATAGGATTTTTGTATAACATATACCAAAATAACTCATATTAGTTCTTTTATATTTTATTAAAATTTCAGGATCAGTATTTAAATAAAAAATTGTAGTCGTTTTACAGTGCAGAAAATGTTTTTTGAATTACAAAAAATACAAATTTTTACAGTTATGTAATTTTAAAATATATTTTTCAATTCCTTAAATTGAGGGAATTTTTCCAATGAATGTAATTGATATTGATAATTAATTAATTTAAATGAAATAGTTATTTCAGAAATACCCATGAACATTGAAAAAAAAATTGTCTCTACTACTTATATTCTATTAAAATTCATTTTTAAAACTTAGCTTCAAAAATATATTTCTATCAAATTAATAGAGTTAAGTGGGTTAAATGTAAACGAATGATTTAATTATAAATTAATTTTTTTTTAATGTACCTTTAAGTGGATTTCCGTTGCAATGAGGACATGATATTACTCCGTAAGCTAACCAAGTATCTAAACATTTTTTATGGAATGTCCCAGAACAACATGGTAGTTTACAATCAATTATTTTTACTTCTTCAAGACATATCAGACAATCTAAAAAATAATAATTTATGAAAATAAGAAATTGTAATTTATTATTTTTTCAATTAAATTCTTTATTTTTTTATTATTCTATTACTATTTACTTTACAATGACGTTATAAAAAAAAACACTCTCCCGCGTTTAAGATTTTCCATCATAACGTATTTTATTTAGTAATAAAAGTAATATATTCATTGATTTAATCATTAATCCGTTCAACAGACATGTAACTCGTTAAATTTAGTTTTATAGTTTTCTAAGTAAATTACTTTATCATTGAGTCCACTAATATTTAAAATAAAGTATAGTTAGGACAGAGTGTGCACTTCGCCTACTCATGGTAGTTATTTTTGTTCTAAGTATAAAATTTTTGAAAAAGAAATTCCAAAGTGTTAAACAATTGAACATAAACTTAGTTATATCTTGCATAATACATAGCTGCTTTTAATAGAATCACGTATTTTTATTAATTATTGCATAATTGTTATTTGCATATCGGCTTTAAATTATTATATCAATAATCGGTCTATGGACTTAACAAATTAAATCAAACAATAGTATAATACAAATAGCTTTGGTTGTGTTTCGTCGGATAATATGAAATTGTGCTTGTTTCAAAAGGCATATTATATGCTTACTATTGAGCCCAAAGAATTTTAACTTTGATATAAAGATTTAAACAAGTTTATATATTTTACTTTTTGGTTCATCAATGTCTCTATTTACTGTTGCGTCCACGATAACTTCAGTGTTGGTCAAAACCTTCCTACATTTTAGTAGAACAACCAATAATATGATATTTGCAATGAATATTTTCTGAAAAACAATATTCAATGAAATGTTGGTTGTTATAAAATGCATAAAAACTATCTGAAAGAATTTTGTATAAAACATCCAATAAATAATTAATATTTTAAATTATTTGACTTTTGATTGTAATCAAAAACCCAGCACAGTGGAATCGCGGCACATTGGGGACGTGGCATAATTGGGCCAAGTATAATGATATCTGACAGTGATTAAAATCACTATCATAAAAACGCTTCGATGCAAATCTTTAGATAGTGTTTAATTAAAAAAAAAAATACATCATAGTAAAACCAATACCTTCTCAGCTTCGCATCGAGGCTAAAATATATAAAAAATTTTTTTTTTTTAAATATAAATCGAAATCTTGACACATAGTTTTATATAGTTGTAAACGGATATATAGTTTTCATTAATATTCAATGTTTTGTATTTTATTCTTGAAGAATAAATTACAAAAAGTATTATCTTTTTTTAGTATTACTAAAGAACACTTAAAACCACATAATTGTTATTATTGGTTTTCAATACAGAAACAGTAGATCTAATACTCACGGAGTTAATAACAGTTTAACTTATATATCACTTGAATAAAAATCATAGTAATCATCTCTATTAACTTTTGGTGTTGTAGTAAATAGGCGAATAACGTCGATTTTAGTATGATACGGGGTTTAAGACAGCAGTAAACAATTTTTTAATTCTCAAGCAATACAATAATGTCATATATAAGGAAAAATGCAGGGTAAGTAAATTAATAATGGCGGGAAAAAAGAATATAAAAGGAAAACATGAAAAGGACGGGGAGAGACTGGACGTTTTGTCGAAGAAATGTCGAGTTACAGGTCAGGTCGTTAGTGTGCGAGTAACTTTGTTTTTGTACGACTTAATTAATTTTGTGTTATATATTTATATTATATTTTGACTTTTTGTTTTTACGTTATATAAATAAAATAATTACTTAAAAACCTGTACTCGATAGTAAATACTTTACAATCGTCGTGTTATTAAAATTTGTGTTTGTGCGTTAAGAGTCGAGGTTAGACTACTGGTCCTTTAATCAATCATAACAATTAGTGTACGTGCTGGTTAGTTTTTGGGTTTAACCGTCCTTTAGTAGATATAGTGAAAAGGTAGTTGTGCTGATGGCTTACAAGAAGCAACTCCTTAGTCTGTTACTTTTGAGCTAGATCGTGCTGACGGGTCTAAACTCTATCCCTTTAATAGTTCACTGATTGGAGGGATTGGCCAGCGTATCCAACGGGAGGACTCGAGAAAAGCTAAAAACGATGAACTCGTCGTCTAAAAACGTTATTTAATTTGTGCATTACTTTTTTGTGTCTACGTCGGGATCTATTGATGTACGACAGTGTTTAAAATGATTCTAAAATTGAATTATTCAGAATTTATTTAATTTTAATATTTACTTTAACTAAAAAACCAATTAAAAAAAAGTTTTTAATAAGATCTATTCAATTGATTGTATTATTAAATTTGAATACGATAGTTATTTTAACCAAAAGAGAATTTATATTTCAATTTTTTTTTTCCATAGTAAAGTATATAATATAAGCTTTAATATAATATAATATAAGATTAAATAAAAGTATTAATATTTCCGGAACATTTTCAAAAATTAAATAGAAAAAGCTTAACTTGTGTGCGAAAATTCCTTTTCTGAATCTCCAGGTTTATGGGCAGGTTTAGAGTCAGATTTTCAAAAAATTTATATCAAATAAGAGAAAAATATCAAAGATTACAAAATAAAAAAAAATTATTTGAATTTGTTTATATTTCAAAAAGTCATGGCAATTTTAAGTATTAATATATGTTAAACTATGACTTTTACATAAAAATTACATTTTTTGTTAAATTCGACGGCCATTTGCACATAGGAGAAAGGTGTCAGAATAATTTTTTTTTTTCATTTATTGTGCGTAATATAAGCTTTAATTTGAAATATGTTAAAGAATACAGTATATTCCAACATTTTCAAAAGTTAAGTTGAAAAAGATCTACTTTTTATATGTATGTTTCAAATTTTTAACACCCCCTGTATAAGGGGAAATTGTCAGATTTAAACAAAAAGTCTGTCAAATGAAAAAAGTATTTATAATCTATGTAGAAAAAGTAATTTGTGTTGATACTTATATTTTTTGAAATGTTATAGCAATTTAAATTTAAAATAAAACTGAAAAAAGTAAATTTTAATACAAACATAGCAGGTATTTAATTATGGCAACTATTTGCGCGTAAAAAAGAAGTCGTCGGGACAAATTTTTTTTTCAATTTATAGTATTTAATATGAGCTTTAATTTATTATCTCTTAAAATTTTTAGTATTCCCAGAACACTTACAAAAATTAAGTTAAAAAAGTTAATTTTTTGTAAAAAAAGTTGTCATTTTGAATCCCACACTGTAGGCAGGTAAATGGTCAGATTTATAAAAAAATATATATATATACTAAACAATAGGTATATATCTCATATATCAATAAAAAAAAATTGTACAGATAGGGGCATTTTTAAAAATTTATGGCAATTTTAAGTAAAAAAAAGTTGAAAAAAGGTTTGCATTTACTAATAAAATTTACATGAATCTAACTTAGATTAAATATAAATTTAAACTTGTTTTGATTATTTTACCTCCTCAAAGTTAAGAAAAAAGCGACTTCTTTGTCGCTTGAATTTTTAACTTGCATAAATAGTTCTTTTCATACAAATTATTCATGTAGATCACAGTGGTTACGTTATTAACTATAAAGTATTATAAGTTCGGTGTACTAAATTCAAACCCCGCCACCCGAAATAACTTTTTTTGAATTTTATTCTTAATTATTTTTTTTTTTTGAGATAGAAAACAAAATTTAACACAAAAAATTAAATAATAATAGTATATTTTTGACTCTGATGAAATTTACTTAATTATGGTTAATTATGAAATAATTGTCTATTTATGGTCTATTTATACATAGCTAATGGTATAATTAACCACAAATTATTTTCTAAAATTTTTGTATCAAGCACTTTAATTTTTATACACGTTTGCTATGAAATTAATACCTATTTTATAATTTTTTTATAAATTTTCCGAAAAAATTACTATACTAAATCATTAAATATCAATCACATACTAATTTAATTGCTGTAATAATAATTTATTCATATATTATACTTCTAAATTAAAAAAACTATTAATCAGGAATAATGTAGGAAATAGGAGTTAATTTTGCTTTTTGAATAATCCCCCAATTTATTAAAATTAAACACTATCTACAGATTTGTATTGAAGTGTTTCTTATGATAGGCATTTTAATCACTGTCAGATATCATCTACAGAGTGATCGAAATCTGGTAAGACATTTATTTTCTCAGAAACTATTGAGAATTTAAAATTTTTGTAAAAAGAAAAATTATTAAGTTTATAAAACTCTACAATAATATGAAGTTAAATAAATTATTTTTTCATCCCTTCATGGATAAAAATGTTTATTTATAATTTTTTTAAATTGGAACTACTATTTTTGATTTGATAATACACCCAGAGAAAAACCTCGATCTATATAATAAATTCATTGTTCAATTTGATAAATATATCATTACTAATGAATCAATGATATATTTATCAATATGAATTTTTTTTTCTTGTCTTGAACAATAATTATTTATAAGAATAGTTATTTTGTTCGTATTAATAAAACATTATCATAAACCCTTGATAAAATTTTTCTTTCAATTTTGATTGAGGTTTTTCTTTGGGTGTATGATAGAAAAAAAAACTACAAACAATTTTGTTCTTATAATTTTTTTATCCGAACAACCGTTTACGTTTTATAATTGTTTAAAGATTTTGATTTCCAGAAAAAATATTGTCATTTATTACATTTTATAATATCGATGGCAGTGCAACCGGTATTTTTGTTAAATCCTTTAGTCTTACAAAACCATAGACTTAGATATTAATAATACACTGAAAACCCGGTTTGAATCTATTATCGTCATCACTCATTTAGTGCGTAGTAAATTTTTATAGCTAATTTACCTGTCATAACTTAATCAATAAAATTTGGTTTATGCAACAGCAAATAAAAATAATGACTTCTATATTTAATACAGCAAAATGACAATAGAAATTTGGCCTAAAATCACTTAACTTTAACAAGCTATAACGGACGAACGGTTAATAGGATAAAAAAAATTATAAGGACAAAATTGTGTGTAATTTTATTTTCTATCATATTATAAAGTTAAAAATAATATATTATAAATAAGGGTTTTTATCATTGAAGGGACGAAAAAAATAATGGTTTGACTACATATTATAGTAGAGTTTTTTGAACTTGATATTTTTTCTCTATAATAAAATTTAAAATTTTCAATATTTACTGAGAAAATGAGTGTCTTACCAGATTTTGATCACTCTGTGTACTTATCTCAACTATGCCACGTCCACATTGTGCCGCATATTCCAATATGCTACCGTTTTTTTACTCAATTTACTTCTACAGCAGAGGAGACAATTTTTTAAAATAACGTACTTTATTTTTGGCTTTTTATTTGAATACAATACATCAAATGTTATAAATTATTTATCTCGGGTTTTAAAGTGAAAGAAATTAAAAACTGGAATTCCTATTAAAATAAAAAGGAGGTAATATGTAAGATAAAGATACTATTGTTTTCTTGATAATTTTAAAAATAATTAACTATCTATTTTTATTTATATTCAAACATATTTCGGAAATTTTATGCAACTAAAAAAAATATTATGTTCATTTAATGCACTCTTTTTTAACGCTATATAAGCACATTTAGGACCTTAGCGGCCTTCTCCAAAGGAAGAAGTTTCTTAACCATTGATACTCCGGGATGGCTGGTCAGTACATCGCCGGAGAAAGGGATTACGATTCCAATTACCGAGCTGATCTCTTGCTCAGCAAATAAAACCGCCTGCGAACGAGTTTCGAACACGAGGTAGTGCGCGTTAAGCACTGCTGCGTTACCGACTTGGCCACGCCGACCATCTTTATGTAATATACTACGTTAAAACTAGTATTAAGTCTTAATTTTTTCCAAAAAAAATATTATTCTCTCAAAATTCCTGTCTATGAAAAAAGTTTAAGTACCATTTATGTATAGAAACACCATTTTATATATCATTATTATAACTATCTAATTTTTTTTCACAAATATAAGTATATATATATATATATATATATAAATATATATTGAAGTGTGTGTACCAGTTTTTTTTACAATTTCCACGAGGTTGTTTAGAAATGATTCTCCTTGTACTTAAGTATAAAAATATTTATAACTTCTAAAATAGTGTTACATAAAGTGAAAAATATATGGTTTCAATTAATCTTAGTAAAACTACTTAATACAATTATTTATTGCTTAATAAACTGTGTGACTTACCATATTAGAGTTCTTTGTAAGTTGTCTTACTTCACTTAAAATGCTTCAATAAGTTTATGTATACACCTAGGAATATGTTTTATAAGAAATGTAATGTAATTTCTTGTTAAATTAAAAAAAAATTAAATACTAATACATTGCGTCACCTCAAAAACAAATATTTAATTAAAAATTAAATTTGATTTGTTTTTTAGCATTGATACGTAGTTAACAAGCCATTAATTCATTTAGTTGTGTTTTTTTTTATTGTATCCAAAATGCAAATACTCCCACTGCACTGGAATAATTTTGCTTAACAATACGTTAAAAAAAATCACAAAACATATCTAGTTGAGGTTATCAGTATCAAAATTTTGAAAATACCACCTTAATATAGAGAAATATCGTAAAAAATTACAGTTGTCATCAAACTGTCAACGTTGATATTTGTAGATTGTTTAATGTAATATATGATCAAAAAATTTAAAACATTCCGGTGACATATCGTCTATAAGTTCTATCTATAAAAATCATGTAATTTTTGTAGATATGATACATTTATTTTTAATATGTTTCAAATACGCATCGTGCGTTTTCGATATCATTCTATACTGATAAAAAAAAATATCAACTTCAATTTACTAAATCAATATTGTATTGTAGTTCTATTAAATTGTGATAAAATGTCAGAAATTAAATTTTGCTCTGAAATCTATAATTTAATGACAATGATTGACTCTTATTATTTGTCTTTTTTAAAATAAATTTCATTATTTGTTCCATTTATAATTATTATATCATAAATTGAAGGCATTTTTATAAAACTTCTTGTGTGTTTGTAAAAAATTATTATTCAACAGTTTTGTATTTAAAGGATAATTTCTTTGTTCACTCGATGTGAATATACAGGGTGTTCAGTAAGTCAGGAAACGGGTTTCCATTGTTCTCATTGTTTGTAACAATGAGAACAATAGAAACAATAGAAATCAAAAAATGAACAATTAATTACTGTTCATAGTAAATTTTAACCATAAAACAATTTATTTAAACAACATAAATTTTTTAGATTTACTTAGTAAAGTAAATACAATAAAATAAAGACAAAATTAATTAATATAAAAATCAAAGCTATAAAAATGATTGGTCGATAACAACTTTTGGATCAATATTTCAGAAATTATTAACGTTTTTAATCCTTGATCGGTGATGAACTGAAGCTGTAGCTTATCATCACGGAGGTGGTCGATAAATAGTCACTGACAATAATAGAATTAAAGTGAAATATCTCGGGGTATGCATGTCTATAGAAGCAGATCTGATATATGTGAATACAGGATAAAAGGGCAACGAAAGGTTACTACTTGGCTCCTGCATAATAATATACACATTTATGTGATTTGTGAATATCGTGTTTTTTTATGATATTAAGATAATCGCATAAAAAAAACACGATATTCACTAATAAGATAAGAACTGACTAAGATGGCCAGTTTATTTTTGACGACTCTCCTTACTCTAATTAATTACTACTTAAAATCCTTCGGTAATATCTTATTTATATTATTACGTACGAGGCAGCTAGACCGTAGGACGGCTAGTTGTGCACCGCACTAGAATGCCGTTTTACCTTAAGCCTGTTTAATAAAACGTTAATATTGATGTGGGAGTGGGTCACCTAAGAGATGACGGCTAACTATACATCCAATAAGTAAACGAGAATAGACAATAATTAAATAACAAATAATCACATATATTAGAAATTCCTCAGATAGTATCTTAAATTTAAGGAGTAACGGGGGGGCCCTTAAATACTAGTGGCCGGCGAAACGGCATAAAACATATAGTTAATCTCAATTAGAACAAACAATAATTAACATTAAAAATAATATAAAACTCAGCTGTATAGATGACGCTGTTGATGATGATGAGTGGACTCTATGAGATCTTGTGGTAATGGTGTCGAACATCTGAGTATGACGAGTCAGAGTGTAAATCCAGGTACGTAATGGCAGATGAGAACAGACCGCGAAAAGGCGACTACGGCAATGAAGATATTTAGTGATGGTCAAAGCCCAATCACTAGTGTCGTGCAAGGGCACGTAAACTTTGAGCACAAGGGTGCAATAAACAAGAAATAAAAAACTATGCCGTACAATGGCCGAATAATTTACTATTCAAGCGAAGGCGCTTGCAACAGAAAAGTAGTGACACGTAAAACAAAACAACTGACTTATGACAATGAACTGTACACGGATGACAATCGACACGGAGGTCATCGATTTGCTGTGATGGGTGGGCAAGGGGGTGAGTAAAGCAAGATGCTGGTGATCAGCTGTCCCACGAAATAATATAATCAATGATCTTTATAACAACTGGTCAACTAGATCCTTTAGAAGGCGTTCTGTACCATACATATATAATATTTTTCATTTTTGTACTTAAAAATAAAAACTATAACAGCACAGTGGGGTCGTGGCATAGTTGGGTCCGGTATAGATGATATCTGACAGTGATTAAAATCACTATCATAAAAAACGCTTCGAAGCAAATCTGTAGATAGTGTTTAATAAAAGAAAAAAAACGCTTCGATGCAAATCTTTAGATAGTGTTTAATAATAAAAAACTGATGGATAATTACAAAAGCAACATCAACTTTTATTAAAATAAAATACAAAACCCATAATTTTAATACAAAAATAGCATATTTTTAAATACGGTAGCCATTTGCGTATAGAAGATAGGTCGTCGAGACAAATTATTTTTTTTCATTTTGTAGTACATAAAATAAGCTTTAATATGATATATGTTGAAAGGACGCAGTATTTCCGGAACATTTTCAAAAATTAAGTTAAAAAAGTTAGTTTTCATAAAAAAGTTGCTATTTTAAATCCCCCCCAATGAGGTTAAGTGTTAGATTTTCAAAAAAATTATATCAAATGAAAGTAAAATATCTAAAGTTTTAGTATAAAAAAAAATTATTTTAATTTGTTTATTTTTTAAAAAGTTATGGAAGTTTTAAGAAAAAAGTAAAAAAAATGACAAAATTAGCGATTTTTAAATTTGTATTTTTTTTTGGATATTTCACCCATTTGCGAGGAACGAGGAAAATTTTTTCATTTTTTAAGGGTAATATCTTCAACTAGATACAATTTGTGATCTTTTGACGTATTGTTATAAGAAATCGGTCCAGTGAAAGCTGAGAAAAAGTGGCAACAGACATAAAAAAAAAAACACATCATGGTAAAATTATTACCTTCTCAGCTTCGCATTGAAGCTAAAAATGTAAAAATTTACAGATTTTAAAATTGTACATTTAAGGAAATTTGACACATTTACAAATAACCAGTGAAATTTTACGATATTTAAGGGAAATGTCTTCAGCAAGATATGATTTGTGATCTTTTGACGTATCATTGAAAGAAATTAGTCAAGTGAGAGTTGAGAAAAATTATTGACAAACAAAAAAAAAAAAAAAAA